TAACAGTATTAGATTACACAGAAAAATTATTTAATAGAATACATAAGTCATTGTCTTATTGTTATGTATATTATATGTTTTAGTAAATTAAATTTTTATTTTTATTAAAAATAATATTTACATCCCCTCTTTACATATAAACCTTTTTTTTAAGGATCTCAATCTTTTCTATAATTAATTTTTGATATAATGTTTCTTTGTGGGATTAAAAATAATTAATTGTATAAAAAATCCTTTTTAATAATAACTTTTGCATTTTACAATACAGTAGCTTGGCATTTTTACTTTCGTTTATTTATGTATATATATGATTATTTTAATTATTTATAATTTTACACTTATTATTATCAATTATTTTTTAAGATCAGAATTTTAATTTTAATATATGTTAAGTTGTAAATATTAAACAGAAGTGTGATTACAAAACGTAATACAATATATATGTATAATTGTACTTACCACAAAACTGTATTTTTCACCCAATAAAATACAAAATTTCAGGATGTGGTAGAAGCCATTTTATTACAAAATAGCTTCAGCAGTCAGATTTTTGTCGATATTCATAATCCGTTTTTATTTTAAGTCTTAAGTAATGTCTTAATTAAGATGTTATAATACAGCCCTCTAATTGATTCATGAAACAGCTTAAGACTGTACTTAAGACGATTTTAAATATAAGAACCGACTATGAATATCAGTCTCTGATTGGTTCATCTAAATGTAAAACCCGACTATGAAGACTGCCCTAATTCTGCAGTCGATCGATACGGTAATGGCGGACGCGAGTCTCGAATTCTACGCAAGTTCGAGACTCATTCAAACTCGTATCTTTACGCACGAATATGATGAAATAAAATAGATTTCATTGAAGTTTTTTACATCAAATGATGGGGCGACGAGAGATGGCTGCGGTTATCGTTTGCCGAGTGTTAAACAAGGATAAAATGATACATCATGCACATTATGCATAAAACGGAACGCATAGTAATACGTTAATGTTACACTAGTAGATTTACAAAAAAATAAGATAAAGCTGT